GAGGTCAAAAACATCACAAGTTTTCTCAGCAATGACTTTAACACTAGGATGATCAACAAACTCAACCATTTCCTTACTGTCACCATCACTCCTGGACACCTCGCAAAAGTAGTTGTTGAACATTTCAGCCACCATTAATGAATCGGTAATTACACGCTCATTCTCAATCAGAATTATCTTTGATTGCTTCTTTTCTTTGCTTGGCAACAAAGGTCTCAACTTATTCCAAAACTCACCATGATGTTTAGTGTTTGACAATGCCTCCATGCAGAACGCCTTCAACCCTTTTCGTTTCAGGGATGTGACCTTGTTTCTCTGTTTCTTGAATTCCTCCCAAGAGGTTGTTGTTGGGCTCTTTGCATGTTTCTTAAACAGTCGATTACGACGAGAGATTTCGCGTTGAATTAATGGAGTTATCCATGGCAACTGATTACCTCTGACCCGTTTTTTCTTTATTGGTGCGTGTTTGTCCAACACTTCAGTGTACAATTGAGCCCAACGGTGCTATAGATCATCAACGTCGTCATAAATGTAAGCAGAACTCCAGGGAACAGTTTTTAGGTCATTTAAAAATTTTTCTAAATCAAATTGTCGCATACTTCTGTATTCAATTTCACGTGCCTTTGCCCTTGGTAATTTATTCTTTCGCACTGCATAAATAAGATCGTGATCACTGAGACCCATATGCAAATTACCACAACTTGCATATCGTTCCGGATGGCTAGCGAGAATGACATCGAGTAAAGACTTTGTTTTTTCAGTCACCCTTGTCGGTTCACTAATTTGGTTTTGCAAACAGAACCTATCACAAAGGTCCATGAGTGAGTTATCCTCAGCATCAACACCGTGCTCCCCAACGAGCAAGTCAATATTAAAATCACCAATCAATCATATTTCCTGACGGCTTGTATACATAAGTTCAATAGCTGATGTAAGCGACGACAAGAAATCAGTAATTTTACAGAATTTAGGTGATCTGTAGCACGCACACACTATAAAGCGAGCCTTTTTAGAATCCATGACATCAAGACATAATGATTCGACTGATTCGGGCTCCAGATTACGTCGTCGACAGACAGGAATATCTTCCCGTACAAAAGCTATCAAGCCACCAGCTCCTTTCTTGCGATCACGTCAAATAGTGCGATATCCCGGTTGTTGGAGAAAACTATCTGAGGTTGTACCATCGAGCTTTGTCTCCGAAATAAAGAAAATGTCAAATAGGCACTTGTTAAGAATATTCTTGACCTCGTCAAGCTTATTTTGTAAAGAGTTGATGTTCAAATGACCTATTTTCAGATTGGATTTGTAGTAACCATTGACGTTCCTAAAAAACCAGACAATAGAGTCTCCTGAATGTTCCTCCGCAATCTCAAAAACCTCGCCAGTGGAGCTTGAATCGCATGCCGCCGAAGGTGAGAGATCATCAAAGAAGCTGTCAGAAAACTGAGGCATCGTACAAGAAAAGCAATACCAGATCCCTTGTTCCAACCAAGGGGCCCAAATATCCATTGCACAAGAAAGCGGTATGCAGTGGCGCGACAGCTCCTACGAAAGAAGAAAAGTTTACAGTTTTTATGAGTTATAGCACTTGGAGTTGTATTTTTAACAAACCAGTGTCATCTCCTCCCCCCCTCCACCAAAACCATCAAAAACAAAATAATAACATACAGTGAAGTTGACACAATTGATGTTAGAGTGATCAACAAAATATTGTTTTCAGGTTCTTCTTTTAATTCTTACAAGACTTTTACATCTGAAACTATTGCTTAGATATTGCCAATAATATCGGACCATTATTGCTGTTGGAATGAAGTCGGTCTTAGTCAAATTACACAGAAAACATTCTGCAGCAAACTAACTTGTAAGCTATTTTTATGTACTCGAGTAGGTTAGCGTCATCCACATTTGGTCGATGAGTTCCTCTGGTTGGAAACTTGTAAGCCCGGCAAATCGTGTCCTTCATCAGAGGGCACACCTGCTCAAGTACTGTGATATTTGTCAGAGCGCGAAGTCTGGATGGTTGAGCACGCAATTACCTTCAATGCCTTCAAAGGTCAGTTTTGCCATGGCTGCCGTGACTTCCTTGCTGCAACGAAACTCCAAGCCATTACACAGAAGTTCTGTATAGCAGTTGTTGCAACGACATCTGAATTCAGAACAATGTAAAAATCAGGAAAGACTGATAAGCGCGAGCCTGAGACAACTTAGTATTATGCAAACACACTCGAATAGACGAAAACAAACGAAGAGAAGGTGTAATGTCGGAGTTTCGCTTTAAGTTTTCACCTGCCATTCATTTACGGTTATTTGATTCTCGGACCTAGACTCCAATATTGACTGAGTCAAACCATCTTCGTCTTCTTATCTGGTTCTTCATAGCCTTCAGGTGCTCAGGTTCAAATCGGTATGGCTCCACGAGTCCGCCAACCACTCCGAAATCTCTCTTGTTTTCGCTTTCTCCTGCCTCTGAAACATTCCTAGAACTCAAGTTGGAGTCCGAATCATCAGAACTGGAAACTATATAAGATATAGTAGCAGGCTAAGATGTATTTGCTGAATTAAAGTTGCCAAGAACTTTAAGATTTACTGTGGATTACAGTGTGGGAACTTCGAAGGCTCAGAATACACGAAATGGACACACTTAAGAAGTACTCTTTGAGCTCTGATCGGAGAAATTTTTGGACCGTTATTTTACGTTTTTATGTTTTAAAACCACCCTTCTATGATTGAAAAACCTTTTTCATTTCAAAAAGGGTATTCATGAAATTCACTTCAGTAGCACTTTCATTCACAAATGAGAAACGTATACTCTTTTACTCTTTCAAGATTATCATTGGCTTCTTTTTCACCCCACCACTATTCTTAGCAACAAAGGCCGCCATTTCATTTGTTTATCACTCGCCAAAAACTATCAAATGCATTCAAAAGCCTAAAATAGAAAAAAGGAAAAAGGTAACAGGAATCGACTAACCGAGCGCCATTCATCACATCATACCTACAACTCTTGCGCATGTGCACACTCGCTCTCGCACTCACTCTCGCTCTTGAGCATGTGCACACTTCACGAGTTAAAAATGGCTCCCTATCATCAATAATATGTTGTGTATTCCACAAGCATTAAGATGGCTAGCAGTGATAGCTCTTCCTCTTCAAGCAGTGACTCTATCTTCAGGACGAGAAATTAGATGCAAATTGGTATGGCTGAAGGAGAAAGTTAAGTCCACTCCACGTGGGCATAACTAAATCGTGATGGAAGGGTGCAAGAAGTCTGTTTCACCAGGGGAATGACCAAAAAGGAGACTCGGGAAGCAATTGTCACGACTTTTCAAGGATTGCGTGGCTTCAAAGGTAGAAGGTATGACTTTCATTCATTTGCTTTATGTACAGAAAATATGTGACCTCTCACGCGAAAACGTTCCTTAGGAATGAACGCACGACAAGCAAACAGATGAGAAACGGATAGCCAAGCCGTTTGAAACAGAACAGCCAAACGGATGCACGGATGAAGAAAATATTTGGACTGATGAAGTCAAATGGAAAAATGGTTGAAAAAAATATTCGCACGGATGAAGTCAAACGGATACGCGGATGAAGAAAATTCTTGCACGGATAAAGTGAGACGGACACAGCTGACAAAAATTTCTGAACAGGTGCAGTCAAACGGATACTCGGCTGACAAAAAATAATTGCAGTCGAGCGGATGAACTGATAAAAGTTTTTGAATGGATGTGGTTGAACGAATGTACAAATGAATAAAAATTTAATAATTAATTTTGAACCGCTGCGGTCGATCAGCCAGACGACCGAAGATAATAATCATAATCGTAATACCCTAATTCTGGAACAAGCGACTTTGCAGCTTTATAAGAACGAACAGCTCAATCCTTTTCTAATAAAGGACAACTGATTGATTCAAAAATCTTGATCTGCATTGTACTTCATAGTTTCAAGAATAATTGTTATAATAATTGCAAATTTTTTTTGCACGGATAGCCCGAGCTGTTCGAACAGAAGCAAATTTTTTACCCACAGATAGCCCAAGCCGTTCGAAAAGAAGCAACTTTTTTTCGCACGGTTAGCCCGACCTGTTCGAACGAATGCAAATTTTTTCACACAGATAGTCCAACCCGTTCGAACAGATGCAAATTTTTTTCGCACGGATAGCCCGAGCCATTTGAACGGATGCAATTTTTTTTGCACGTATAACCCGAGCTGTTCAAACGGATGCCCAATCCATTCACACAGCTAGTGTACAGCATACACACGGCATCCGTGCATAGGAACATTTTCGCGTGAGAGGTCACATATTCTCTCGTGCATGACGCAAAGTTGAAATAAAATGAAGGAGAAGATAGACTGCTTAGGTTCCCGTTTTCTAGGCATGTGCAAGACAGACAAAAAGAAAATAAAGACAACTTAGCCCACACGTGGCTACGTCACCCAGAAATATCTTCTGAGCACACAAGTATAAAGAAAACACATTAAGTAGCTGTTTTACTTACAAGGATACATTTTATGATCTCTAAAGCTGACTTTTTAATATAATTTTTAAGCATCCATATTTACAAGTCCACAAGTAGAGGGAGCAAGATGGAGAGGGTGTTAAAAGGCATACCCACTGCAAAGTCAATTTTACAAAAATGCGGCACGACCACAAGAAAAAATTTCATCTCGGTCAAAGAAAAGCCAGGTAAAGATTTGTACATATTGAATTACTCTGACTACTATTCTTCATCACTTTCCAGTACAAAAAAGTAGGGGAAAACTGCTTGAAATATTGGTTAATACTCATTCAGTTAGCAAAAATGCATCTGTCTGAATAAACATAAAATTCAGGATCAGAACCTGCCGTCAATTTTCAATTTCAACAATTGGACATCATTCAAAATGGGCAAGCTCAAATAAAAAGTAATCAGCAATGTTTCATGATTGGTATCGCAACTGGTACTTCTCAATATGCACAACAATAGCGTTGAAATGTGAAGATGATAGTACAGAATTCTGTCTTATAGTTGGACACTACCCAGATACTACTGCCCCAACAAAGACAAAACCTCAGAAAAGTGAAGGTACTGTATTTCCCTAATGTGTTTAATGATTATTGCTTTGGGCAAATATAACTTGATTCCTGTAATTTTTAAATTACTGCCTCAAGAGGCAGTGCCATTTAACTGATTTAGACCAAGTCACCCATATTGATGAGTAAAAAAAGTTACATTGCTGTGTACATACCGCTAGTCTTGCAATATAGAAGTACCTTTGTAATAGCACTCAAACAAACATCACTTTCCCCTAAGATTTCTTAAGCTTTGTATGTGGTTGAAAGTTTTCAACCAGATCTAATTTCTAGTTTGAACTTAAAAATCGCTTTTTCATAAGCATTCATTTCACAAGAAAGTTCGTTGAACTGATTTGAAAAATGAAATCTTAGGTGCTAAGCGCAAGTCCAGTGCACAAGCTCATGACAAGGCAACAGATGTGGAGAACAGAGTTCTGAGGCATTTAATGTAACATCAGACTCTGACGATGGAAGCCTAATGAGGTCTGTCTTTGCAACCTCAGAAAATAACACCACAAACTCAATTGTGGCACGCTAGGAAAGAGGTAGAATACCGATTTCATGGTTTCTAAACAGCATCAATTCAATGGCAAATCCTTATCCCGAATACAATAAAATCCCATGCTATCATAGTTGACAATTATTTACTTGTTAGGAGTAATGTTTACATTCTCTTCATTTCAGATGATAGTCAATTCAGTGAACTTTTTCGACGCTTCCAAGATGTGCTTGAGCAAAGAGATATCCACTACCTATTTGTCAATGTCGACTGCAAGGAGGTATGTGTTCTTCACACTTCATATTTCGCTGGTGAGCCACCCACAGTGATATCAAAATTTGACAGCTACAATTATTGTTCTCATATGTGCTTCCTTAACATTTATAAAGTCATATGTTAGTAAATTCATATGCATAGTACAAATTTGCCAATGAACTGCAAAATTAAAAAAATCAGGGTCTTTTTCTTGACACGGTAACAGGGCAGAGGTAAGACTGAGGAGAACAAGACTTTAAGTGAGGGTACGATTGGACAAACACAATTTATTAAGTTTCATGGCTACTGAATTTCTCCAGTTTTCTAATTTGCTAAAAGCATTCCAAAATGGGAAATTCCACTCCCAGATGACCAAGAGCACTAAAAACCCTTCAAATAAATCACCACAACAATTTCTTCTTGCTATGCCCATAGAACCAGAAAAGAAGAAAAAGAAGACACGAAAGACAAGAAAGAATAAAAATATTCCATGTCTGCAAGAAGGCAATGAGAAAACTACTGAAAGTGTAGAAATGTAGAAGTTGGAACTGAGATTAAAAAGAATTAACCTTAAGTGAGCATGCAATGTCTTCTACATAGCCTTAAGTTTTCTTTTCATTCCTGTCAAAAAGTTTTCTTTGTATATATGATGAGAATAAACAATATCAAGTTTTCCAACATGTATTAGTTGATTGCAATCTGGCCAGAAGGTATCATTGACAACATTATTATCCAGAGGCAAAGAGGTCATTCAGCTTTAAAAAAGATGCGACAGATAATAACAAACTTTACGTTTCAGAAGAACCCAACCCAGCACTTTATTGATCTAGAGATGCTCGAAAGGAAGTTGCCTGATCATCAAGGGAATAGATCCATCGAATGTGTTCGTGTTGACAGTACAAGAGACGAGGGACCAGCGCACATAAAAGTTCAGTTCCTATGGAGAGAGAGACACATTGACAAACGAAGGATCTGCACTGTGGTAGCCTCAAGGCAGAGCGGAAGTTGAATTAATGAATGGCTGTATAGCAAAGGCACATGCAAATCTTTACATTCCTTCAACTCTGTCAAGGAACAATTATGATTCAAATGGCCTTAACAGTGAGAAACTACGTGAAACCCTAGACATTGCAACCGATGTTTATATTCACAGGGTCAATGGGTCAGCATGCTGTGGGACAACCCTGCAACTGTTCAAAGGAGGTCAGAATGAAGCCATTACTGCGAGAAGGCAGAGCCTTTTGGTCTTCCTTAAGAGTAATGCAAAAGAAAGAATGCAGCTAAAGCAAAGCAACCCAGACTTGTTGAAGTACTTCGAGAGTGTCTGGAGTGTTTGTGAAAATCACATGAACAAGGCTCTTTCAGAGATTATATATTTAAGTTAATCCTGTGTTTAAAACCAGAATGTCCCCATCCCTTGTGAGCTGACAAGTCTGTGAGAAGAGATGCAGTATGGTATGAAAATGGGCCAGTGTTAGCATACATTCCTGTACCTATTCTAGACCCAAAACGGCCATGGGGTGGGAAATGCCAGGAATCCACTACCTTCTCTTCCCGCCACTACATGTCACCTCAACAGCGTGAAGAATTTGTTAAAAAGCATGGTGCCGTAGGGTTAATGTACAAACCCCCAAGTGTTGGAATAAAGGAACAACTTTATGAACCTGTGAGGACAGGGAGAAGTGTATCCGAAAGCAAGTTGGAGGACATTGCCAAGAAGACGTTGCTTTCTATAGAGGAACTGCAAATGCACGTTGAACATTTAAGAGGCTGTCCACCTAAGAACGGATAAGGCAAATTTCGGACCTTCACCGATTTCCCTGATTTTTACTGTGAAAGTCGATACTTCTATCCCATGAACAAATATTGCGTTTATTTTGAACCAGTCCGGTTTTTTCATTTTTACGAGATATTTTTCAAGGTGACCTCAAAGGCACCCAGTTTCCCCCCCCCC